AATTCGGACACCCATAATCTGGAATGATCTATAATCCGGACCTCAAAGCTACAAACTTTCTGCGCATACGTCACGTTCACGCATGCGCGTAATACCTTTACGGCTGCAAATATGTTTGTGTGCATGCGCGTTTAATGTGTAACGATCGGTATAAGCTAAGCTAAAATTATCTAATTCAGTTAATGTTGCAGATTGCGTTGTTACTTAATCTTCGAATTGGATCCGGCTTATTATTTTTTTGCAAACTGTTAGAGCAATTTCATAAAAGTAAGCTTGAACTTTCGATAATGTCAAATAGAATTTCTGATATATATTAACTAATATGTAATTTGTATCTACAAAGCGAAAGTATGTTTTGAAATCCGAAATCTGTTTATCAATTTCACGCCGCAGATTGGAAGTTGATCTGTCAGCACTATCCTTATCTTCAGGGCAGATGTTTTTATTTTATTTGGCTTATAATTCCTTACTAAGTGTAGTATTTCATCTCGATGTACTCCATCTTTGATATGATTTAAATCAAGTTCCTCGTCATTATAATTCGCTTCCGATAGTTGAAGAAAGTGACCCAGAGGTTATTGAAAACATTTCGATTGACAAATTAGTCGGTATTCTCAACACAGCAATTATAGGACTTGAACAGCGGAACTTTGTAACTAAACAAGAAATTATGTCTGTTTAATAGAATTAAAGAGAAAGTATTATCACTTGAAACGAAGCAACTTACATTGAAAGAAATGTTTAATAAAGTAAACAAATAAATATTAAGCTTTTTCTTTTTGTAAATTTTGATACCCTTTAGATCATATTTGTTCTTTATTTCATAAATTATGGTTTCATATTTGTAATTTTGTAATTTCTGCATGCCATCTTACCAGATTTAAACTGATGATCTATAATCCGGAAAAATCGATAACCGGAATCGCCGAAGTCCCGACGAGTCCGGATTAACGACTTTTGACTGTATATGTTTATTTATATATTTGTATGTATGTAAGATGTATGTTAATTTTATAAGAGTTATCTTTAATTTTGAAACCCTTTCCAGGTAACTTTGTAATATCCATTGGTACATTTATTGCTAAGATTCATATGTGTGAACTCTTCAGCATCACTAACTAGAAAATATTGTTTAATTCTGATTTTCCACGATTGTCCTTACATATATTCATGTGTTGTTACATCAAATGTACTGAATTTTATCATGTATTTTTCATCTCTCTCCTATATTTTGTAAGGTTATTATTGCTTTTCATAAACCAGTCATTTTATATTTTGGATATTTACTGTCACTTTACTTAGTTCATGTTTTAAAAAGTTAAAAGGAAACTTGTCTAGTTTAGTAAAGATAAGTTTTAAGTGGTAAGTTTTTATATAAGTTTTTATATCCTTAAAGATAATTTTTTATATCCTTAAAGATAAGTTTTTATATCCTGAAGGATATTTATTTTATTTTTCAGGTTTTTCTATAGCAAAGATTTTATATGCACAGTTCATTAAAAATTATTCTTGCTATTTGAATATGATCTCTGGTACAAATACTAATTTATAATAATTTATGAGGTATTTTATATTAATTACCCAATTTTTATGATTTGTATCAGTACTATTACTCCTTTTACCTTTTCATTAGCCCTTACTAGAATTTAAATTAATTAAGAGTATTTAAAACAAGGGCTTTGGGTGTTATAGCTATTAGAGTTTTTTCTGTCACCAGCTCTGCCACTTAATATTCTGAGATTAGCAATTTTCTAGCAGAAGTTATTAACCCGGCATTATTAACCCGGCAGCTCAACACTGACATTGGAGATCCCGCGGGGTGACTGCATCACCCTAATCAGTTTCATTAGAAAAATATGTTATATATTTTATAGAAACCATTTAATTATAAACAATAATTGCAATATTTCATTTAGAAACTATACTTCTTTACTTAAAAAAACTTATTTCAATATTTAAGAAAAAATTTCATTCAAAATAAGTATATTCCTAATCAGGGGTCAGAAGCTAATGTACACTTCTGGCAAACATAGGAAGAATGAATTTTACATGAAAAATGATCACATATTTTGCAAGAAGTTGTAGTTTTATTGTCTTTGGATCTTGGACACATAGCACGTCAACCTTTATCGAATTTTGGTTTCTTTGATGGGCGTTCTTCTGATACACTAGAAGTTGCATTATCGATGCTTTCTCGAACCACTTTAGGAAGCATTGACATATTTTTTGTTATCTCTATGGGAGGCGCTGTATAAGAGATATAGCCAAATTTTTTAGGAATTTTCTATTATTTCGATATTGTAAAGGAGGTGTCTTTGTTGAGAATAAGGCAACTCTGTTATTTATTGCAGTGTCGTTAAACACAGTAAAAGATGAACATCGGCCATCTGGAGGTTTTTCGAACTGTCGAATATAATGATAACATTTCAGCAACTTTATCTACACCACCTTTTGTTGCATTATGAAAGTAAATTATTTCTGGTTTCTTTGTATCATCACTTCCATCAATGCCATCATCGCAAGGCATTGCAGATAACAAAACTACACATTTTAATTTTTTAGGCACATACGATATTAGTGTCGCGTTCTTTTAGAATCCAAATGTAGAAGAATAACCATTCCTAGTTTTTGTCTGGATGAACTTGGTGGGAATTTCATCCTTGTTTCTGTTCAAGGTTCCTGCAACAGTTAACTTCTTTGATAAAAGTTCTTTTGCTAGAGGATAATTCAGATACCAATTATCCATTGTTACATTTCTGCCCAAACAAAGGGGTGCACAGGTGTTTTGTAATTTCAAATGGTGAATTTTCAAATCTAAAGGGACCTTCCGACTGTTGTCCTGCATATATCTCCATGTTATAGCTGCAAAAAGTTCTTGAATCTACTAAGGCAAATATTTTGATTCCATACTTCGATGGATTGCTGGGTATAGATGGATGAAAGGAACACCGCCCTTGAAATTTCTCTAATTTTTCTTTGATAGTAACATATTTACCAATAAGGTATATCTTTTGGCAATTTTCATTGAAATCGGTCAAAAATTCTCTCGCAGCTGCCAGTTTGTCCAATTTTTCCCGAGCTTCACGATTGGTCACATTGTCTAACCGTAGACACCTGAGAAGAAAATTAAATCTTTTATATGACATTGTGTTCCATAAAATTTCAATGCCTGATCCATCAGTAGCCCACAAATCTTGCGGATTTTTATGTGACGATTTATGCAAGCCGTACAGATGTGAAAGCCCAAAAAGTGCAGTGCTGTAATTTCCACATCGTTTGTCGTTTTGGCATTCCGATCTCTGGTGTAATTTACCGATATTTTTTCAATATAAATATTTGTACACTCTACAATGGATTGTATCATTTTAGCATTGAAAAACAATTCCCAACTTTCTAGAGGCTCCGTTATATTGCGTGCAGTTCCTTTTAATCCTGGTAAATGAGTTATTGTAATTTGAGAAGACGTTTTCACTTTTTGATTTGGTTTTCCTTCGTGCCAAACTCTTATTTTTGCTAATAAAAAGACTTTTTAGTAAATCAGGATTTCTGTCGTCTTCACCATTCTGCTCAAATTCACTTTCGCTGTCGTGAGAACTGTATATTTCTTCATCAGATTCATTTTCACTATCTTGGCCAATTTCACCTTCAGAAAACTCAACTTCATCAGAGTTCTCAAATGCTCCATCTCTTTTTCATATTAGGCAAATTTATCTTTGTAAGCCGTTATCTATCAAATAATCAAACAGACCAACAATGGCAACACTCGAGAGCACAAAGGTAAACTGCTACTAATGAAAAATTTCGAAGCAGTAACGGTCACCCCATTCTCTCATGAAGAAACAATTGCTTCTCTCGCCAAAAAGAAAAACGAGCAAAAATAACAATGCACATTCCAAGGGGAGTGTCAAACAGGAGGATATTAGAAGGATGATTCATTAAAATGAAATATTTCCGGTTAGAATTGTTCATTTTTGGCGCATGAGGTGACTCTGACCCGCGCGACTTCTCCCGGGTTAAAGTTTGAACCAGCTTAGTTAGGCTAAATTGTATAGTCTCAGGTTAAGATCCCTTTTTAAATTGTGAATTCAATTTTATGTTAATTTCATTTTATTTTTATAACACACAAGTTGCAGAATTTGGATTGTATGCAAGTTGTGTTTTCTGTTTAATTCAACCTTAAATAAAAATGGTTGTTTAAAGCCTCCATAGAACTTTACATTTTTTTGTGGAGCAATAATTTGCTTGGCAGTTTTATAGGGTCTGATGGATTTTGTGGCTTTTGTTTGTTAAAAACATAAAGCATTCATGAGCATGACTATTTAATGAATAATAATTTACTCTTAACAGAAGGTTCATATGATAGTAAATGTGACCAATTATTGGTATCTTTTTCATTCATTTACAAAAAATTACTATACTAAATATCAAAATATTTCTTGTCACGTTTTTCATTTCTTTGTAAATATATTTTAATTGTGTGGGATCTGGGTGTGAAACTGTCAATAGGCTGTAGCCAATAGCCCACTACTCACTTTGGTAGGCACAGGTTTTGAGTGATTTTTTGCCACAATTGTTGGCACGAATTTTACAATCGCCTACCATCTTGAAAAGCATAGCAAAATATTCTTAACTTTAAAAATATGTGGTGTCATTGAAAACAGTGTATTAATTTTTTGTTGAAAATGTCATTTTTCAAGATGGCAGGTGACTGTAAATAAATACATTTGCTACGAATATAAAATGTAAGGTTAAATTATTACTTTTATAGCAAATAATTTACATAAAATATGCACAGATCGCCTTTAAAATTAGTTGCCTTTCTAAAATTTATCAAAATTATAAAAAATTTTGATTTCATGCATGCAAAATTCCTTGAAGCTTTCCAGATAAATTTTTGCTCTATTCTTAATTTGTATTTAAATTCTGTAGTGTAATGGGAGTTGTATGATTTAAGTGATACTTTTAGTATTTGAAAATAATTTCGTTTTGTTTAATTTTAGATCTTCTTATTTTTCATCCACTCCTCAACTGCTTTCCGAAAACCGTGCATCTCCCAAAGATGAGGAGCTGTCTATCACTTCCAGTTTTGAGCAACATCTGGAAAAAACATTACAACGTTCCTTATGTAGTCCATTTCTAAAATCCTTTTCTTCAATGAATCAAATTGAGACATCACCTCAGCAGTGGTTGGATTTATTGTGCAGTGTGACTCAAAGATTTAGAGAAGATTATATACAGAGGTTAACCACATCTCAAGCACTCTTACGAAGCAGGTTTGATTGTCTTCTTTTGAACATTTTTCCTTAAATGTGGACTTATGCATATTTATGTGTCTGGTTATCTAGTTTTCTGAGAATGCTCTTGAAAAAGATGGGGAACAAATTGTAAATTTAAAAAAAAAAAAAAAGAAAGAAAAAAGAAAAAGAAAGAAAGAACTTAGGATTGATTTTATTTATTTTGGAGATTTTTAATGAATTTCATTTTGAATGTTTGAAGTAAAGCTTAAGAGTAATTTATAATGATTTATAAGATGGTTATGTTAATTCATCAATTTTTATGATTTGTATCTGTACTATTACTTCTTTCTCTATTTTGTTAGCCCTCACTAGGATGCAAATGAGTTAAGAGTATCTAAAGCGAGGGCTTTGAATGTTTTAGATAAAGTGCTTTGGGCAGCATTATTTACTTTATTTTCTATCACTCAGCTGTGCTAATTAATACTCCAGTATCAGCTCTTTGCTAGCGAGAGTTAAAAAGTATCATCAAAGTTTGAACCAACTTATTCGAAAATTCAGTTTTATGTTATTTTAATGCCTTCAAGAATTTGATTGTATGCAAGCTGTATTTTTTTTTTTTTTTTTTTTTTTTTTTTTTTTTTTTGCAAGCTTAAATAAAAGGTTTGTTTAAAATCTTCATAGGACTTTATGATACATTTTTAGATGAAGCGAAAATTTGCCTGGCAATTTAATGTGGCTTAAGGGACTTTGAGTGAATTAACATTTTCAAGCAAGAATTTTTATTTATTTATTTTTAGATGAAGCGAAAATTTGCCTGGCAATTTAATATGGCTTAAGGGACTTTGAGTGAATTAACATTTTCAAGCAAGAATTTTTATTTATTTATTTTTCGAACAAGAATGTGTAGTCAGGACACTGTATATTCTTGTTTGAAAAAATGAGTCTGTACTATGATGAATGAAAAATTTGACTGAAGAAGAAATAATAGCATTGCTTCTTAACAGAAATCATTTCTGGTGTTTTCAGTATTTCAAAATGAGGTAAAGAAAAAAGCATGCATATTTAGCTGTAGAAAGTTAAGTATGATGATGCCTATAAGATTTTATCAAACCAAGATAGTCTGGATGTAGTGACCTGAAGGAGATTGTAGAATAAGGGTAAGAAAGAAAGCTTAACCTTTACAATATGTAAATCATGTTAGACCATGTGTTGCCATAGTGCAGGTAGGCATTGGGTTTGCAGACAATTTTTGATAAATCATATTTTTGTTAAATAATTTCTTGTATTTACCAACAATTATTAAAAAATTTTAGTTATTAATTTTTTATAACTGTGAGGATGTGTGCATATTTTTTAAATTTATTTAAAGGGATTAAAGGGGATTTAAAGGAAAATAAGTGTTAGGAAAATTATAGATGTGCGAAAGCGTTTTTGTGTAAATTTTTTTAACATCTTTTTATTATTATTATATATACATAAAAATTACAAAGAACCTTCTTCATTCAGAAGATTGGATGGGAGAACATAATAATGATATTAATCTAGAACAGGGGTTCTTAACTTTTCAAATTTAATGCAACATAAATATGAAACAAAAATATATGTACCGCCATAAAAGTGTTTCGCCATTAAAAATCAATACATCCTAAATGGAGTGTATGCAATCAAAGAATAAAACCCTTTATATTATTTAATTATATTTGTAAATGAAACTTTTACTTTATAATAAAATATAAATAAGTATACTATGAGTATACTGGACTGCCACTACGATTCTTGGAAATTGTAACGTCAGGATATTATTCGAAGCTCTTGGAAAAGTCGTCATTTCAACTTTAAAGCTAGAGTATTAAAAGTCAAAAACTTGAAAAATATTTGTTTCTGAATAATAAAGATTAAAACAAAATGTTAAAAGGAGGTGAATTTTACATTCATTTTGAACATTCATTTAATTTTTTTCTGTAAAAGTTGTACCACCTGTGGTACATGTACCGCAGTTTGAGATCATGGGCTCCCAATGAGGTTGGTATTGACCCCTTGCAGGTCAATGAAGTTTTAAAGAGTGTTGCTCGGGGTTTGATAGCCGAATATGCACAGGCAATTGATTGGCATAATCTAGATCCCATTGTTAAATGTATTAATAAAATTAATAATGAATTGTTTACTGATATAAAGTTGTATCATACAGCAGTGTTTCCCAAACTGAGTCAGGGCACCTTTCTTCAGTTAACATTTTTCCATGGTGTCCTACCCTAAGTAAAAGTATGGCTGATATAAGTAAAACTCTAATAAATAAATGTTAAATGTTTCTTCATCATTTAACATTTTTTTTTTTTTTTTTTTTTTTTTTTTTTTTTTTACTTTATTAAAATTAACTTTATAATTAATGTGATTGATGTGCTTGCAAATCACTGCACATTTTCTCAAACCATGGAATGAAACTGGATATGGCCATCTCATTTTCTTTTCCCTGTTGATTTTTGCTCTATACTTGCTTTTTATTACAGCCACCACCAAAAATGCAGTTTCACACAAATATGACGTAGAAAATGAAATTAAAATCTACTGAACCTTATCTTTTATAACAGGATGTTCATCTTTTATTGAAGTCTAAAATTCTGTCAATTGTAAGCTGCCAAATTTTGCTTTCAAACTGTTATCTCAGGGTAACTCAACAAGATAGCAGAAGTAAATTCATTAACTAGTGTTAAATAGAAATTGTATCCTTGCAAATCTATTGAAATTTCATTTTGAAAATATTTCTCAAACAAGACAAGCTGTGATAAGTGCCTTTCAAACATGCTTTTATATCTTGAGAAAGATCAAGTTCATTTGATGTAAAAAATTACTGCAATGTTAATAAAACAGTCTTTGCCCGCATCTTTGTTCAGTTTTCTTTTCCATTATAAGGTATTTCTCCCGTCTTCTTAGTATGCCTTTGTGCTGCAATGGTCAGCACACTCGGTGCATGTTTTTTCCCCTCAGGGAGAGCTTAAGAGAATTCAGCTTTTCAAAAATGATGCATAAATATGCCAGTTTCATTAAAATATTGTTATCAGATAAATCTTCTGTATCTTTATATCCTTCCTATGTAAGGGAAATAAAAATTTCTTTCCCCAGTACAAATGAATGAACTTTCAAACCAAACGTGTGCATTGAAATGCCTTCTCTGCTGAATGTTGCCTCATCACTAAATAATGCAGGAAATCGCAGATTGTTATTCCTCATTCCAACATCCACTGCACAAAGTCTGCCCAACAGGGATCTGTGTCCAAAGATTGCACTTTTTGCACATGGTAGGGATGTATTCATACCTCTTGTAAAATACGCCACATCACTGGCTGAGAAATACCCGTTTTGTATGCCTCCACTTGTGGAAGGAGGTGCTTGAAATCTACTTAAAACTTGCTGTTCCATTTCTGGCATTTGTGCATTTTGCAAACATCTTGCATTGCTTTTTGAGATGGCAAAAGAACCGGTTTCTCTCAGTCTTCAATCAACACTGGAAAAGGTTGGATGACTTAAAAACCTCCTTTCATATAATCCTCATGCTTCATTCACGTCCATTCCCTTTTGTTTCACAGTATGTGAGGTGATTATCTGCCAATTCCTCATATGTGTATTCTGTCATAGCATTTACAAAACGTTTTGAACAATTTTATCAAAGTAATACTCGAAGCGATGATGTTATGGTGCAGTTTTTAAGGACACTGTTTGCTCTAATTGGCTTTCTTTGGTACCAAGAACAAAATGCTTCATCATTTCAGTGCAGATTTGCATGCGGTTAATTCTTGATAGTCTTACGAGATAATCTCATTGTTCTTCCTCAATGCATTTCTACTCTCTTCATTTTTGCCTCTCAGAGTCGAATGCGGTTCTATGGTAATTATTGATAGTCTGGTTGGGTACTATCACCCCTCTTCATTTGTAAAAACAATTTAGAATCACCCTGTATAAAGCACTGAGTTTAATTTCGTTAGACTTAATAAACTGACTGTTCCAGAACAGTCCAGATCTGTCGCAAAGAGTCTACACATCTTGATGTGTCTATACTACTAGTAAACTTAATAAAAAAATGTGTGAAATGATAGATTACATTGCATCCAACTTTTTATTTAAAAATTTTCTAATATCATGTCAAACATTCGAGGAGCAACAGGAAGACATTCCCTTTTTCAGCATTATTGGCAAAACTGTAAATTCCAGCAACCCCAACCTCATCTCACTGTTGATGAGAAAATCAATAAATCATTTATATTTATTCACTATTGGCAGGAGAAGAAAGCAGTGGTTAAGGAATCTTCTATGACATGTATATATGATTTTAAAACCTCATAAAGTTGGGAAACTACTACACAGTTCTGCTGGGATTATCATTATGAATGTTTCTCTCAGAGTACAAGAGACTTTTCCTAATAAATTCAGTAATAAAATTGTTACTTTTCCTGCTGATTTGACTGGCATTTCTGTAGCAAGCATAAATTGCATGAAATCCAACCTGAAAGAAAATGGAGGATTTTCGGCTGTAAGGGGGGGGGAGAACAACCTCTGGAAATCAGTACACATAGAACCCGAATCAAATAACATGATGAGCTAACTTCAGCAATAATGTGAAGTAAAGTTCATGGTTTCCTTTTATGCAATGAACTGTGAAAATGCCGTTTTAACCTTGTACATGTTTTGAGGTTATATTATTATGAGGTATGGCATGATCAAGAAGGCGCAACATTGCTGCCTCTTGTTTGCGAGAATATTCTGTGCCGATGACTTTACTTTTATAAAAGGTCAAGTTTAATAATTCTAGATATTTTTTATCTTCTCACTTGGTTTTTATTTAGGTAATCCAGGGGTTCCCAACCTTTTTGTCCTTTAGAGCACATTGTAGAATATCTGTTGGATGGCGGGCACCACTTACTTTTTCAAGGTGAATTTATAGTTGGATAAAGTAAGACAAGAAGTAACATAAAAGAAGTGATCGGTTGTATTTCGCTTCATGCTGGTATCTTTGTTGGATGCAATTTCTATTTCATTCAAAAGGAGAGAACTTTCACATAGAATTTTATTGAAATCTAAAACATTTTTATTGTGATTGCACAGCAGTGGGCACACATTAAACGATCGGTGGACGCCATGGTGCCCACAGGCTTAGGATTTGGAACTGAGTTAGTCCATATGTTTTGGTTCAATTAACTATGAAACTTTCACAATATTTTTTATGTCTTTGTGAAAAGGTCACAATGCACAATTTGGATACTGTCATAGAGTTAGGGAGAAATCATATTGTTACAAAATGTATCATATTGCTACAAGATGATTTTAAACTTATATTGAAATCATATTGTTACAAGATGATTTTAAAACTAAATTGAACAATTCTATTTTAAGTATTTAGAAAATTGCATAAGTACATCAAGCGTAGCCATCACATTAATTAAAATCAAACTTTTATGCAATTGGAATATGCAGTTTTTTTTTTTTCTGAAAATTTATTTGTGTTTGTAAAACTAAAAATTAATATAACACAAAAAATATTAAGCTAAATCTAAAAGCATATTTTCCAAAAGTTTGTTCATGTAATTAATCTAATTTTATTGTTGAGTTATTTATGTGCAATTATCTATATTTTAATTATGTTGTATGCTATATATATTAAAGAAAACAGCAAGGAAGTCAAAAAAATCATTTCCTTAAAAGTGGTCAAGCGAGAAAAAAGATTGGGAATTCCTGATATGGATCATAAGCATATATGCAAGGCAGCACCGCACTCAACAATTTTCTTAATAATTACATAACTACTTAAAAAAGAATACTTTCTGTATATTTATAAATGAAAAGAAATATAAAATTAATAAAAACAAAATAAAAATTTAATTAATGACTTTGTATGATTTGTTTGAAAAAAAAAATTTTTTTTTTGCTTTGTCATCTCCGTGACCGGTTTTCTGTTTCTTCCTGTGCAGTGTTGTTTTTATTTATATTTGCTCAGAAATTTTAGAGATTTTACTGTACGAAAATAGAATTAGTTGTATAGTACACTCTCTAATACCAAAATCAATCATATAAGAGCCAGATATGTGCTTTGCAGGCAGTTCTGCATACTGGAGACATAGATTTCATTGCATTGCTAAATAACAATTCTGAATACAAAAATAATAAGAATGATTTTTTTTAAGTTTTAAATATAAAGAAAATATTAATTATTAATAATTTAATTTTATTAATATTTTTTTCAAAATTTAAATATAGAGAAATCAGCTTATACTAAATCAGCATAATTTATATCCTTAGACCATAACTTTTCAACTAAATCTCTATCGCTCTCTCTCTCTTTTTAAGAAACAAGTCAATTTTATAGGAAAAAATACAGTAATTCTATATTTATAAAGTAGAATTTATAAAATCATGTTTTCATGTAGACGTGTATATTGTAATTAATTAGCAACTTTGATGCTGCATTCTGTACCATATATAACAATGTTTAAAAAATTAATTTAAAGTTATACCAAATTAATGAATTCAGGAAAAATTTGCTGTAGTATCAAAAATGTAAAATGTAATGATTGGCATTTGCCTTTGTTAGAAATAACAATAGAAGATTTTTTAGGTCTACATACCTTATGACTACAGTCAATGAAACCAAGTTATTATAATGTTAGGTTGTTATATACATTATTATGAACTGTCATTATAATTATTGTTTTTAATTAAAATCAATTACATTTTGTTAGTATATCAGAAATATAATGTACAGCATTTATTAATCTCCTTCATTTTTTGACTCGCTTCCAGAGTAAAATAATTTGTAATCGAAAATGAACATTATTAGTATATAGCACTTTCTGTGATTAGAAATTTCCTAAATTTTTTTTAAGTGTATTACTTAATAATTTTTAATTAAATGTTATGAACTTTTTTCTTCTTCAGGGTTAAAGTTTTAACACAGCAGAAAGAATACCAATTGAGAGATATCAGCCGATTGCAGCAAGAAAAGGAAAATCTTAAAAATGCTGCAGAACGTTTAGCTGAAAAATACGAAGATGCAAATGCTAATCAACAAAAAATTTTAAACAGGTTTGTTTTATAAAATTTATTTTATAATTGGGTTTTAAAATAAACCTGTATATTCCAGAACAAGTATTTTGATACAAAATTGCAGAGAAACATACCAAAGTGGAAATTATTAATGCAATAAATTAGTAATGCAATAATAGTCTTATGTTTGGCATATATTTAGTCAAGAACCCAATAAATTTTAAGTGCAAATGGGTACAGCAGCATTTCCCAACCTTTTCACTCTAATGGGACCCCAGTCTCCTGTGTAACAATAACATGTAACTACTCGTATATTTTTTCATTACCAATCATTAATTTAAAGAAAAAATGACTGCTATTTTATTTGTTTATTATTTCAAAACAAAAAAAATGCAATTAGTATAATTTTATACATAATTAGGTATAGATAAGGAATAAATTTTGTAGTATAACAATTTAGAACAAATATTAATATGAAATCTGCTGCTTTTTTTGGAATATAAATGTTGAATTCGGGATTTGATTTTTTGATATACATATGCAGATTTCATCTTCCACAGAAAGGAGATTGTTTCTGTCTCTTTTAATAAATGTTAAACAAGAAAAAGCTTGTTCACACATATGTGATGTTGAAAACTGCGGCAATTTATTAATTGCTATCCTATGAATTGTAGGATATTCACTTTCAACAGAAGTCCAAAATATGTCCAAAGCCATGTCATTAAATCTCATTTTCAATAAATCATTGGATTTTAAGTCACAAGTTCTTCCTTTTTTAAAGATAGGTTCTGAGGCTGACCAGAAGTGCAAGAGAATGGATTCCTCACCCAGTCATTTAGTTCTCTTGTCAGGGATGTAAAATAATAATGTTTTCTTTGTCAGCTCCTCTATGTGGGATGCAATAAAACTTGAAATTTGTTGGTATCATCTTCACTTTTTAGTCCCACCAATAGTTCAAACATATCAAGATTTTCTTTTACGACATGATCTCTTAAGAAGTTTAATTTTCTTTTAAATCCAAGAATCTTGTCACTTGAAGTTAGTGTATTTTCTGTGCTGCTTTGAGTAGCTTATTCAGTTGATTCAAGGGGTGGAAAATATCTTCTTAGCATCTACACCCACATTTGATCCTCAAAACATTTAGTAAAATCTTCTTTGTCGTTTTGTTGTGAAATATGCATACATTTCTTTAATTTTCAATAAGCTTTTAATTAAAATGGATGTGATAATGCAGTAAAAGAAGGAAAAAAAGATATCAGAATCTACAGTTTAATGAAAATGGGAGGTGCCCATAATAAATTTTAAAAGATATGGCATAAACATTTAGCAATGCAATTATATTAATAGATTTTTTAATGTAAGTATCCCACACTTTAATTATTTATAATATAAAGTTGTAGATGAATTCTGTAAATAGAATTATTTAATCTGTTATTCCCACTTAATTATATGATTAATTATTTTTCTCCTTTTAGTGTGTTAATTATCATATCCATTTTAAATAAAAGCTTATAGTATATAAATCTTTCTTAAAAAAAATTTTATTTTACTTTCTGTTTTTTAGTCTCAGTTACTTGTTATCAATAATGAAATTTTTAGTCATTATTAAAACATGAGCAATAGATTATAAGAAAATTATGAAATGGAGGAAAAATATTCATGTCATTCAGAGAATGAAGAAATTGTTTTGAATATTCAGTAGTCAAAATTGGATGTAATAACAATATTCAGTAGTCAAAAAATGGATGTAATAACAATGTTACAATGAGCATTTTACTTGAAACTAAAATGAAAAAACAAATATTGCCATAACATCATTAAGTGCACCAAGATTATAAATTCAAATTTCTTTTTTTCTCATGTCTGCTTTAGCTGCAGAACATTTTTTTAAAAAATTTACAAATTTTTTCAATCTCGAATTGATTATGGCTAGATTGGCTAGACGCGTTCTAAAGTGTGTGCAGTTAAATCTTCATAAATCCAAATCTGCGACGCAACAGCTAATTTTAAATATGGAAGCTGATGATATTGACTGTGCTTTGGTTCAGGAACCTCATTATTACAAGAATTTTCTTCCAGGATATCCTGGCACTTATAGACTTTATTGTGATCCTAATTCTGACAATGTAAAGGCGGCAATCATTATTCGATCACGTGATCTATCAACATTTCTTGATTATAAAAAAACGGATTATAATATGGTCACCTTGGATATTACTGTTGGCTCAACTGTGCTCACTCTTTTTTCATACTGTTTTGAACCCTCAAGAAACATTGACTTAGACCTTCATAAAATTAGTCAAGTCTTTATGTCCAAAAATCTTAATCCACTGGTTTGGTGTATGGACTCTAATGGCAAATCTGAATTATGGTTTAGTCCCTACTCAGAATCTCGTGGAGATAAACTGAGTGAATTTATTTCTGCCAACAATCTATTTGTTATTAATGAAGATTATGGACCTACGTTTCAGGCAACTCAGGGTTCTAGTTATATTGATGTTACTGTTATTGGTTCAGATCTTCTCCAGGATGTTTCGAGTTGGCGGCTGTCTGAAAAAGAATCCCTTTCTGATCACATGATGATTGAATTTGAATTTTGTCTTTCTACATTCTTACGAGACACCTCAAATGTTCCTTTTAAAATCTTCAATACAGGGAAAGCAAATTGGGATCGTTTTCGAAAATTTTTGTTCTTCTCGCATCACTCGTTTCATTGATATTCTTAACCACTGTACTGACGGTTCTCGCCTAAATACTCTTGTTGAGAATTTTAGTTCTGTTCTTCTCCAGGCATCTCAAATTTCCATACCTGTTAGGAATCATGGTAAGCACAATGTTCCTTGGTGGTCTGCCGAAATTTTTTGTATGAGAAAGAGGCTTAATGCCTCTAGGCATAGATTTCAGCATTGTAAAAATCCGCCTCTTAGAGAACTTTATAAAAGTAAATATCTTGAATATAGAAAGGTTTACAATCTAAAGCTTGCCGATGCTAAATCTCAGTCTTGGAAAACATTTCTTTCGACCATTGATGTTCACAATGTATGGAAAAAGATTTACACGTATGGAGTTAAAAGAGATTTCATGAAAAAAATTGAAATAACTGGTATTTGTCTTTCCACTGGAGAGACAACCAACTCTTTAGAAGAGACAATTACTGCTGTGCTTCAGAAATCTTTCCCCTCGGATCTAGAGGAAACTGATGATGATTTGCATAAGGAATACCGTCAAGCTGCGTGTACTGCTTATTCTTCTTTTGTAGATTCTATGTTTACTTGTGATGAAGTTAATACAGTTATTTCTATGCTGGAACCAAATAAATCACCTGGTCCTGACTCTATTTCGAATGAGATTATTAAACAGTTTCATTTAATGTTTCCTCTATTTCTCCATAAACTTTTTTACGTTTGCCTAAATGTTGGCATTTTCCCACGTGTTTGGAAACATGCTCAAGTAATTCTTATTCCTAAAGGAAATGAGTCTAGGATTCCTCACCTAGATAACCTTAGATGTATAAGCTTACTTCCTGTTTTGGGTAAGTGCTTGGAAAAACTTTTTATTAACAGAATTTGCTGGTATCTCCGTCATGGAGACCTTCTTTCTGGTAATCAGTATGGTTTTACACCTCAAAAAAGTTCTGAAGACGCTCTTTTACGCTTGAATGAAATTGTTCAGAGAGGACATTTTGGTCTTTTTGGATATTAAGGGCGCCTTCCACTATGCGTGGTGGCCTTGTATTCTCAATCTGCTAACAAAAGTAGAACTTCCAATGAATATTTTTTCACTTGCTGCTGATTTTTTAAATGATCGGGAGGCAAAATTGCAATTGGGCTCGGCTTCTGCAATCCGTCACCTTGAAAGGGGTTGCCCTCAAGGTTCTGTTTCAGGTCCTATGTTTTGGAATATTATTATTAATGATCTCCTATTAAAACTGGAAAATCTTGCTTGTTGTGATACTATAGCCTTTGCGGATGATGTTTGTTTTGCTTCCAGAGTAGGGACCTTTCTGCTACTTTTTTACAGGCACAAGAGACTTTAAATTTCGCCTCCAACTGGTCAAAAGGTTTTAAATTAGATTTTAATCCTGATAAAACCAGGGTTATGATTATTGAAAAGCGAAACATCTGTTATGATGCATTTCAGTTATCTCTCGATGGCATCCCCTTTGACTGTGGTAAAGCAAATGAAATATCTTGGGGTTTTTCTTGACTGTAAATTTTCTTGGAAACAACACTTAACTTATGTATCAGAGAAATGTGATAAATTACAGCGGTGGATTAAGTCGTATTGCACGTAACACATACGGTATTAATTACAAGGTTCATTCGCTTATCTATAAACAAGGAATTGCACCCTTCATTATGTATGGCTTTAGAGCCTGGGGTATATCGCTCAAGAAGAAGATAAATTATAGATATTTACGACGTGTTCAAAGACAGATACTTCTGCGGGTCATATGTGGATATCGTACCGTAAGCTATGAGTCTGTTTATGCAATTTCTGGCTTTCCTCCAATAGACATTGCCATTCTTCATTCTATTGCTTATAAGGAAAATATTTCTGCTTCTACTGTCTCTCAGCATGATTGTATTTTACCTCTATCTGATCTCCCTCATCCTTCAGAAAGAAATGCTATTAATTTTATTCAGTTTAGCAATAAAATTGTGGGTGATTCAACTTGCTATACTGATGGCAGCAAAATTGATGGCAAGGTTGGTCTCGCATTTGTTGTCTTCAAAAATGGTCTTGAATTTGAGCACTTTCAATTTAGAATCAGAGATGAATGTACCGTTTTCATAGCTGAACTTTTGTGCATAAACTTCGCCGTCAAATGGGTCTCTAAACAAAATAGTGCTGTTTCAGACTATCTCATTTGTACTAATTCCCTTTCATCCTTGGAGATCTTAAAATGTATTTCTTCTTCTAATAATATCATTATCGAGATTCAAAAAAGAACTGAAGAATCTAAAGGATAAAAATATTTCGGTTTCATTTTCATTTGTTCGTGGTCATACAGGTGTTGTTGGGAACGAATGAGCCGATTTCCTTGCTAAGACTGTGACTAAGCGGGAAATTGACACTTTTGTCAATATCCCTAATTCCTTCTATAAGAAGGTCATGTATGAAAGCATTGTGGAGTCGTGGAATCACGAATTCATTAATTCAAATAAAGGGAGTTTAACTAGGAGATATTTCCCTTCTATTTAAATGAGATTGTCGTGTCATCATTTCTTTACAAATTACAAATTAACCCAGTTTCTTACTGGACATGGGAATTTTAAAAGTTATTTGAACAGATTTAAGTTGAGTCCTGGGTCTGTCTGTGACTGTGGCCTCGGTGGCGAGGAGAATGTAGAACATGTCCTAAATATGAGAGCGAAAGAAAAGTCTTGAAACTGGGACTGAAAAATTTTAATATTAACTGGCCTCCAGAGTTTTACCAGTTTATTTCCGAGAGAAGTGCTTTTAACATTTTTTGTCAATTCATTGTAAAACTTTGTAATCATCCTTGATTTTATTTCAATTTCCTCTTGTTTATTTTGTATTGTGTTTCATACTTACTTCTGTAAGCCCCATGTGATACTATGTGGTACATGGGGAACTTGTTGAGTTTCTTTTAATAAAAAAAAAAAAAAATTTCAATTAATATTTTTTTATTATTCTTGTTTTTAGAGAGGGCATATGTATGTTTATAATTACGGTGACCAGACGTCCTTTATTTCAAGGCTCTGTCCTCTAACTTTATTTATTTCCTGAAATAAGCATATTGTCCTTTATTTTGAGAAATTGTCGCAAAATCAAATTTCTCAAATTGGTTTTCTGCAACTCTAGATCGGAGAACCCGCAACGTATTTTTCTAAATGCCAGCCGAGCCGTACGCTGACAAATACGCAGTCGGGCCAGAGCAATGCTTGCTTCTCGCGTTAGTACCACCACCACATAACTAGGGACTGCTTAGTTCTTTAATCTTTGTGTTCATTCTCCTTCTACGGTTTGTGCGCGCGGCACGTCCTTCCGTTCGTAGTGTTTACCAAATATTGTATTTTACAGCTTTTAGTTTACTCAACGGTAATCAATTTATGACTTACCCTGGTCCTAGCTCCTAGGTAAGTTTGCTTTGTATTTTCAGTTTTGATATTTCAGTATAGTATTATCTAACTAAATTTTATAGAAATCTTGACTTTTACCATTCATGGCGCCTAAAAGAAAGTGCACTTTCAACCAAGCATTGCAGGAAGAATTTCCTTTCATAAAAAAAGGAAAATCGGATAGCGATGTCAGATGCAGTAAATGTTTAGCCACTTTCAACATTGCAAATAGCGGCAGATCAGCAATTAATCAGCATCTTCAAACTTCAAAACACAAAGATGCGGATAGGCAGGCTTCGACGAGCAAATCTTTAAATGAATTTTTTGTTAATAAAAGAGATAATGATACCCAAAACGCGTTAGCCCTAAAAGAAGCATCGTGGTGTTATCATTCAGTTCAACACAATTCTTCATTTATATCTAGTGACTGCTTTTCCAGACTAATTAAGAAGTGTTTCGAAGAAAAATATTCTTGTGCAAGGACAAAAATGGACTCAATTATTTGCAATGTCTTTGCCCCATATTCATTTGAAGCAATCAAAAGTGACCTAAGCGAAACAAATTATATCACCATTTATTCTGATTGTTCGAATCATGGCAACACCAAATTATGTACAATTCTCGTCAGATATTTTTTCCCCAATTTTGGAGTTAGAGTAAAAGTTTTGAATATAAAATAGCTTCCCAGTGAAAATTCCGATATTTTGACAAATTGTATCAATGAATTGCTGGAGAAATTTGGGACCACCAAGAAATTGGTAGCCTTGTGCGCGGATAATACAAATGTTAATTTTGGTGGTTCTCAAAGAAGAGGAAAAAACAATGTTTTATACAAAATGCAGCAATCGAGCAAAAAGAAATTGATTGGGGTTAATTGTGCAGCCCACATATTCAATAATTGCATCAGCACTGCAGTCGATTGCCTTCCGATAGATATTGAAGTGGTATTGGTAAAAATTTACTCACATTTCTATATTTACACAATACGAGTAGAAATATTGAAACAATTTTGTGATGAGGCAGAGGTCCAATACAAAAAGCTACTTGGCTACAGTAAAACAAGGCTTACTTTTTAAATCAGGATAAATGCCCAACAGTACTTAAAACTTTTTTCAATGGGGAATTATCAGAGGAATGGTTATTTTTTGTTCATAATCAAGCGTCAATGTTTCATCAATATATTTTGAAGGCTGAAGGTTAAGATATTTCAATGTGTGAAACATCGTTACTTGTTAAGGAATTAAAAAACTAAGCTAAATTCAAGAAAAAATGAGAAGTTTGTTCCAATAGTGATAAAGAAAACGTTATCAAAAGTGCAAGATATGCAATCTACACAGTTTATCTCTGAAGCTTGCACGTTTTATCAAACATGCATTGAATATCTAAGCAATTGGGACATTGTGTTTCAATGAAGCAGAAGTTTTTGAATGGATCACTTTGCGAGAAGTCCCTGTGTGGTCGAAGGTGGAGGCAAGTTACATTTTCATATCAGAACAATGTTCGGTCGAAATATCCGACGGTGAATTATTTGACGAAATTACCCTCGTAAAAAATTACATTACCAATGAAAAAATTGACGAATGGAGGCAAAACAGCAAATCCTGCCACCTAAGGTGGGTGGAGATATTTAATCACTTTAAAGCGAATCATATTGCCTTCAACAATACTTGCAAACTCATTGAGTTTGCTTTATGTCTACCTGGAACTAAATTCCCGTCGAAAGAATATTTTCATTAGTAAATAATATGTGGACCAGTGACAAAACCCAATTAAGTGTTAGTACATTACAAGCCAGCATAGCTGTAAAATTTAACTTTGAAATGAATTGCCTTGAATTTCACGACTTTTTGAAGCATGAACCGGCACTTTTGCGAAAAATCCATACATCTGGAAAGTATGAGCAATAAATTATTTAATATCCTATATTTATATATTACATTATTTAAAACTCGTTGAACATATTAATGTCTGCTTCTATTGTTTTAATAAACCTTTTGAATTACTAAGTTTTTTGGAGTTTTTTTTTATCAGGAGGCGTCCATAAATGATCGCAATATTTGGGATAATTTTGACCCTGCCCATCCCCAATCCCCATGTCACAATTTGTCACACCTTGGAAGACCCCAAATTAACATTTGTGACGTCACACGAACGCACAAACCCCCACCCCTAACACAAAATTATTGAGCACGAATTTAAATTACCATACCCCCCCCCCTCATGTCACGTTACAAGTGTCCTTTATTTTCTCCGAAAAAATATGATCACCGTATTTATAATCTATGTCAAATAGTCTTAAGGGGGAGGGGAGGGAAGAAAAAGACAAAAATTCAGAAATTATATTTTTTATGCAAGTTTTATTTAAAAGATGTTTTCCTGGTATATTCATTAGTGCAAACAATAAAATTCTGGCATGCTTAGTTTGTTTGTTAAATGAAGATATGTGGAAAAAATCATGTAAATATTAAATTTTAAAATATCTGCCGTGAATTTTGAATAAATCGTTTTATCACATTGCATTGCCATTGTCAAAAAATAATTTGGTACAAAATTTGAATTCATTAACTTATCAGGGAGTGAGATTAGAGAAAAAAGTAATACAATTTCTTTTTTTTTTTTTTTTTTTTTTCTTTTCTTTTCTTTGTAGAATAGAAGTTGTTCTTCGAAAGCTACAACATCATTTGCCACACCTTTCTAAAGCCGAAATAAACATGAAATATACACTTTTGGATTATGAGGAGCATCTTAAAAATTTTGAAGTATCCTTAAGTCAGATCAAAAAGAAAGTGAAACATCAAGCAGAAAAAATAGCAGAAGCAGGTGAAACTAAAGAATCAATTTTAGCAAAGCAAAATGAATTGAAAAATGTGCATTTCAGCGAAACACAAATGAAGCATGTTAAAGAATTGCTTGCACAAGAGTAAGTAGTTTCTATAAAAATTTCTCAGAGTATTTAATATTAACAAAATTAAATTACATTTTATATCTCAAGTATTCTGCTTAATATTTCTTTTTGAACTTTTCTATTTGTTTTTTGAAATTGATTTCTTTTATTAAGCTTGTCCTTTATTATTAATCATTTTAGTTCTTTTATTAATTACCAGTAATATCAGCATTGAAAAGTATTAGCTGTAGCCTATGCTGGAAGAATATAATAGCAAGAATTAAACAATACCATTTTCAGTAATCCTCTGAGGCTCACTTTTTGTGAGTATTGGTTTGAGAATCCAAAGGTACCCCTCAAGGGATCACCCTCTCAGTGAGAGGAGCTTCTGATACTGGAGCCCTAGTGACCTTTTCTCCTTTCCTTTTCAAGTTCACTTACCTGTTCTTTTTCTAGCTTTTCCTTCATTGTTGTTTTCCTTTTCAGAGTTTGGAACTCAAATTGAGATATTGTTACATACCTTTGTTTCTAGTTTCTCATGGGGAGAAAACTGCCTACACCTCTACCATGCATTCTGGTCTGTAAGGCTGGAAAGGAGGGTCCTGGTAGTTAAGGGGCAAGGTACTGTCCCCAGCATACAACTTTGGCTTCTGCTTCAGATTGAAATGGGAAGTACTTAGCTGTCCCTGCTAGAGTCAATTGGCTGATTACTCACCCTTGGAGCCAGTGGCTAAGGGCTAAGCTTTCAGGAAAGCAGACAAGGCTTCAGATTGCATATAGACCTGGTTAAGCCTGGCACAGGAATCTGCGTCCCCTTGTTGGACTCCATGATGCGGGGAGAGGCTGTCAGGTCTTGAATCTCTTTCCATCTCAAACATGGATTCTAAAACTCAAGCAAATGTTAAACATGTTTTGTCTTAAAAAAATTGAAAAAAAATATAAATGCTAATGGCAAAAATCATCCACCACATTTTTTTTAAAAACAGTTCTTTAGACAACTTAAAAAAAAAAAATTGTTTTCTTAATGCAAAAATATTTCAAGTCCTTATTGGAGAACCAAAAAATATCAAATGGTTGCAATCTGAAACCCTGCTTATTGAAACTGCCTCTGTAACCCAATCTGTTAACCTTCTGGGATTAAAAAAGTTTTGAGAAGTGTTTCGGTGCATGAAACTATATTCTAAATTCAAAAATAAAAAATAAAAATTAATAATAAGGGAAAAACTGCAAGCTTTCAGATCTTCTATTACACTCAATTGTGCTAAAAATATTTAAAAACAGCATATCTTTAGAAATTTTATTGGGTAAACTTTTCTTCTAATTTATTTGTGTAAATTTATTATTTGTTTTTTAAAATATGTGCTCCCATACCACACATAAAACAAATACACCAAGGTGGGCACATTAAAAAATATGAAGTTGATTTTATTATATGGTAGATGGTGTTTCAAGTAATTTAATTCTCTTTATATACTGTATTCCAAACCAATTTTATAAATCTTAAGTCTGTCAAACTGGTCGATACTCGTCCTGAAGTAATTAAAAAATAATTCAGGATATTCTTTTCGCAAACGAGACAGTAAAGAAAAAAAATCTCCTTGAACAGTTCACTCTTAAATAAATCTTTCGGACCCATTCTTCCAATTTTTTGCATTTTTGCCTCTGCTTAATGATTGTATGTAATAGTAAAGTTTCAGCTATCAAAAAAGTCATCTGATTAGATATTAATTTCTAAAACCAGAAGTGCTGGAGCCATCTGGAAGGCTGTCATGAAGAAGGGGGGGGAATAAATAAATAAATAATTAAATTAAATTTAAATTTAAATTAAATAAATATAAAGATAGAAATAAAAATTTTCTTTCCTTAAATCTCCGTCAAAGTATTTGTTCCCCAGAGAAAGACAGGCATGAATTCAGAAGTTATAATCGATTTTAGAGGTATATTTATTTTTAAAATAAAATTTGTCCACTGAAACTGTGTTTCACGTACATAAAAGAAGTACTGGAACCCTTTTGTTTAAAAGCTCTGCTGCACTCTGGCTAGAATTATGATTTACCTCAGAAATTGAGCAGTACTGGAGCCAGACTCCTGTGGGCTCCAGCACAGTTTAAGCTCTGCATATGATTGTAACATCTTGCTGCAGACATATAGAAAAACAGCGAAGTAACAAGATGACAGCACCGCTGACCTAGGGAACAAAACTATATTACAGCATCACGTGATTTTTGTGCCAAATTATTCTATTGGTTAAACGTACTCTTCGCAAGCGCACTCATTTGGACATTGTTTTGCTGGTAACATAAATGTGCTTTCATTAGCTACATTACGAGCGTAGTTATGTGGATGGGCCTTTACAAACTGCTTGCGCAAGCTGTTTGAAAAAATTGTAAACCATTGGCCAGTCTATTTCTTTAAAAAGAATCATATAATCTTGCCTCCCTGTATTGAATCTATATTCATGCGAATCATCTCTCCATTTGAAGCATGATTCTGCATTATTACTTCCTCCTGTTATATTTGATCACCATAACATAGACTGCAAATATATTAAGACAAAATTTAATTTTAGAAGTAAAATACTTCAGAATATACTCTATATCACATGAAAAGTTGACAAGTTAGTTCCACTTGCTCTTGTGAAGAGATTTAAGGAAGGAACCTTCTTGAAATGAAATTTCAGTGATTATTCATGGTATGAGGCACATTTTTTTCATTGAAACTTTTTAGAGCTGTATTCATGGAAGTGCCATAGAACCATCTTGCACTGTACGTCTTCTTTTTTTTTTTTTTTTTTTTTGAAAAATTGCACGGTAAGATATATGCTATCATACACAAGAGTAAATGCTGCAGTTTAACAGTTTATTCTATGCCAGATTCAGTTATTGGAGATACTTGCTTACTTGTTGGATTGTAAATTAGTGTGAAGCATTTGCTAATAACTGATGGTAATGTAATACCTAATGCTGTGTGCATATTTCAATAATAAACAGTTTGAATTTGTAGAAGCTCTTGTGAGTGCAACTTCTGCATTGTTACAGAATTTTGAATTAAAGCTTTTCTTCAAAGCATAGTAAATTCAATTGAGAACTATATTTTCTATTTTATTCTGTATGAGGAAGGGCTCATTGATTATTTAATTGATTTCGTTACTATAATTTATTATTAATTTCTATTATTAAATAATAAAAAAATCTGTATATATGTATGTTCTTTGCATTATGGAAAAATAGTGACACCTAGAGCTGCCAAATTTTGAACACAAAGTCTTCCATTTAACATGTTGAGTGTGGTGCCGAATTTGCTGTTCCGTTCAGCTGGCAGAGAACTAAGCTGTATTTTTGTTTAGAATGTTTCAATACATTTCATTAAAACTAAATTTTATCACATTTCATTGAGACTATATTTATTTTTTAACTTTAATACTGTCGGTCCAGCGGACCGATGCCAGCCAAACGAAAATTCCAGTGCCTGCCCCCAGGGACCGGTACCGCGCTCAACGTGTTAAATACGAACACTTCAAAGCACAGATTTTTTAATTTTGATTTTGCTTTTTCTTTATTTCTTATTTTGTGGGAAATTAACGATATTTTTATTAAAAACTTGGTGATATAAAAAGTTTTATTTTGAAATTGGGTAAAGTGTTTGTGTTTCTAATTTAATCAGGTAACTCAGCAGTATATAAGAAATATAGTACCACTCAGGGACATATTTGTTTTTCAGATTTAGTCAACAAACTTGGCGATGTAAAATCAATGTATTGCCACTATCCGGATTAGAATATTTTTATATTCCATGTGCAATGTGTTTTTGTGTAGCAAAGTATAAAATAATTATTTTTTTTTTCAAATTTATTCTGATATTAATTAACAGACTGAACAATAAATGCAGATTCACTTCATTTATTGTTAATTATTAGCTGGATTCATTAAAATTATTATATATTTTTTCATTCTTATAATAACTATTTTAAGTGGCTAGCCGCTTGCATAGCTAGTATTTAAAATAAAAGTGTTGTTTATGAAACAAGATATTCTTTTACTGTGGTCTGAAATCAAATTTTTATCTGTACACACGTTGGATAACTAGTTTAATTGCATAAATTTATCCAGAGTTCTTGTCAAGATGCAAAATATCTTGTTAAAAATTGGTCTAGACAAAAAAGTTGATAACAAAGCCTGAAATCTAGACTTCCAGTATCCAGAATGATCTATTTATTTAATATTTGTACCCATCTATTTGTATAGCATTAATATTTGGACTTTCAAACCAGCCACTAGCATATACACACATAAAAAAATAAAAAATAAAAATAAAAAAATAATAATAAAAACTTACGAAGTCTAATAATGGAGAACATAATACTCAAAAAAAGGCAGCCAGTGTGCCATAAATGTGCTTTTTTTTCCCCAACTAACCGAGATTTCTGCATGTTACTTTCAGACACCTGCTGGCTAGGAAGTCACACTATAGCCCAATAGCAGTGCATTTATAAATGTTAGCCGCAATCATACTTTTAGCCCTTGAATAATTGTGAGGAATTATAATTTTTCTGTCTGACCTAAACAATAAGTGAAGCCCCAGTATCATCTACATGTCATCTTATTTGATTTAAACTAATGATCTAAAATCTGGAAGCTAAGGAATTATGGATGTGGCAACATTTACTACAGAAAAATAAGAAGTTTAAATTGCATGACTGCTCTATGCAGATGAGCAGAAGTGAAAGATAAAAGTTTATGATTCTGTTAATATCATAGTGGCTCCAACAATTATGCTGATGTCAAAACCGAATGTCAGATTACTTTGATTGCTGGTTATCCCTTTTAGATTTCGTGGACAGGATAATTAAATGGTTTAAAACTTCATAGCATTTCCTTGCTAATACAAATTGTGATTTTTCTAGTTCACAGTTTCTTAACATTTATTTACAAATGTGAAATCTTAAAATGTAAACTTAATTATCTATTCTTCAGCAACACCTTTCCATTTTTTGTGTCCACTAATGTATTTCTTCTAGAAGAAACTCACCGTGTACATGTTCTCCGGAGGAAATATATTGTTGTTTTCAAAATAATGGTAATATTTTTTAAACCTGTAGACTATTTAAGGCTCATGCTGATCATGCTTAATTTTTTTGTTCCTGACTTTCACAAGCAGAAAAGGAGAGAGATTATTCTAACCTATGAATTGGAGTTAAAACTGGAGCTTACATTCTGGAAAGCAAACTTACAACTTCATGGATAAGTTAATTTTATTTTAATGTAAAGAACTGTTACTAAGTAGACTGTAACCACATCCTCAAGAAAATTCCCATCAACAATGAGTATCTAAAGTGTGCAGAAACAGTAGCTGTTTCTTTGAAAAGGGTGATTTTATAATTTATATTAAAAAAAAAGAAAAAGAAAAGAAAAAAAGAAAGAAAGAAAGCTTAATATTTATTTGTTTACTTTATTAAACATTTCTTTCAATGCAAGTTTCTTCGTTTTTTGTGCTATTTTCTCTTTAATTCTGTAGACAGACATAATCTCTTGTTGAGTTACATTGTTGAAGTCATGTAACTGCTATTCTGAGAATTCCAACAAACTTGTCAATCAAAATTTTCTCGTTTTCAGTAACTTCTCTGTCACTTTCTTAACTATCGGTAGCAGTTTTTTTCTGGATTTAGAACCATACTACAGATTTTGCCATTCCTTAATTGATTGATGATTTAGAAGCATTGTCATCACAATGAAAAACTTCTTTTATATAATCTTCATTTATTACCGCTTCTCCACATTTCTTTACAAAATCCATTAATTGGAAAATTTCACCTTTGTTTTGAGATATCCGAAAACCTTTAAAATTAGCGGCTACCATCATCAAATTTAGCTATCCTTCACTATACATATTTGGCTATTCATCATAAGCTTGGAGACTAATGACAAGTTGTTCCATTAAATTTTATCTTGCTTCTATCATGCACTGAGACAATTAAGCTTGAATTCTATTAGTTATTTATTATATTTGTGTCTATTTCTTGCACATTCTTAAGGCTTATCAGAGTTTTGAATAAATAAATTCTCACCATATACTTAAGCCTTACTGAGAGCCAGCACTAGATAGATATCTTACCGCTTGATGCAGTCTCTGTGGGTCTTAAATTCTCAGACTTGATGCAGCCACACAAGCCCTGGTGCTGGTTCTGGGTTTATATGAATAACAAATCAGTTATTCTTAATTACAATAGCCCTAAATGTAATCTTTGGGTCTATGAGTATCATCAACAAAATCTATTTTTAGCATATGGAAATAAAGTTTTGGTAAATTTTTCTTCGTCAACATTTTTTAGCGCATTTAACTTAAATTTGTAATCATCGCCAGGCATAATGTCAACATAAAAGGTTACCATACTCCTTTATTACTCAATTACTAACATAAAAAAATTGTTAGGCATTGCTACATGAGTCATTACTCAATTTGTCATGTTTTGATAAACATGCAGTGATGAAAGGAAAGTATAATAAATAATGATTCGCCGGGTTGAAGTCAGATCAACGATGTATCTATGTGAAATGTTTGGGTTTGAGATGTATGCCAAGCACACAGAGGCGTAGCTAGAGTTTTCAGTGCCCGGGGACAAGTAAAGATTTTACGCCCCCTTCTGTGTGCCAAGAATAGAAAACATTTCATTCTACTATTCATTTTATTCTATTAATTTTTTAATTACAATTTGGCGTCCTCTCGATCCTGTGCCTGGACACAAATGTCGCCACTTGCCCCACCCTAGCTACACCAACGGAGCCACGTTAGTGATCGTACAAATTTATGCTAAAATAATTGTTTCTTCAATAACAGTCGTCGAAGTTTAGTGTCGAAGTGAAATTAAGAATCGGGACTCTCCAGATGTTTTATTATGCTCAGAGGGGGGAATCAAATGCGCATGCGTAAAGCCTACAAGAAAACATTGGTGGTTTCGAGATCCAGATTTTAGATCATTCCGGATAATGGACATCTGCATTTCGGACTTTGTACTGTATAGCAATTTGGGTTTTATATTTATGAAATATTTTTATGTGTAGTATTACTTTAATTGTTTCACTTTTGTGTCTTAACTCTATTATAATCTCTTGAAAGTATATTACTTAGTATGTGTACTCTGGTAATTATCTTTCCTTTTTTGTAATTATCTTTTCTTATTTAGGGGAGAATCTATTACTGATCTTGTGAAGACTATCACTGCTTTGAAAAAACAAGCAGCCATGTGATTATTTTTTAGGCAATGTATTTAAGTGAACTGATTGGTGAATCCATTTTCATGTTATATTAGGTAATTCATGTGAAAAAACATATATTAGTTTTCTCACTTGTAAATAAACATTATTTGAAATAAATATTGTGGTGATATACTCTTTTTTTTCTTTAAATGGAATACATAAAAAGATAAAATTACTTTACCTGTTTATGTATTTGATATGCTATGCTATGTAGCAAATTAGCTTACACTTTTATTTTATTATAAAAGTATATGTAAGTGGCTTAAAGTTTAAAAATGTTCATTTCTTATTAGCAAGAGAAATAATCCATACTAACATACTCACATTATTGAAATAAGTTTTTTTATGAGAAAAGAATATGAATTTTAAATGTATATTATGAATTTCAGGTATGTCTCTTTATAAAGGAAACATTAATATTACCATTCTGCAATTAATTTTTATGGTGGAAAGCTATAATGCTCTTTGTACATATACTGCTGTTGTGATGTCAGATTTTAAAATGAGTTTCAGAAATTAAAGTTATTTATCTTGAGTTCTTTTTTAATTGGAAACGTTTGGATTTTAAATATTTAAAGAACTTTAAGAAAGTGTTTATCCTTTTCAGTAGTGATTAATGCCCTTCCAACAGCCATTTGAAAAAGATAAGAGGTATATTATTTTACATAAGTAGAAAATTAATTAATTTCTTTAATTATTATTCATTGAACTCACATTGGATATTAAAAAAAAGATATATAAATTCATTGTTTTTTATAATCTTTTTTCATATTATTTTATTTATTTTATGATTCATGAAAATTATTCACAGAGATTTAAATTTCACTGAAAAATTTTTATGTCAAACTATAACTGAAAGCATATAACTGAGTTACATTTTTTCAATTTATTTTTAAAGGGTTTCTGTTACAGATCCTTATAGATAATATGATAAAGATTGCATTGTTCATTTTTGTAGTATTTAGGTGTAAAAATCTTTAGGTAATTTACCTGTTGTATTCCAGAAGTTTAATTGAGGATCAAATTTCCTAAATATTTTTGTATCTACGGATTATTTCTGTGGATTCAATTTTTTTTTTTTTTTTTTTTAATTTAAAGCTTTTGTAATGCAAATAGGGATTATCATTTTGTATATTACCGTTTGCAGTATTATTTATTCCCTTTAAAATACATCACGGGGTTTCTTTGAAAAAGAAATGTCAGAGTTTTTAACATTAGAAATGTATCTGAAATGTAGTTAGATAGCTAATAAATGAAACTTCTTATAAAGGAATTCTAACATGGTAATATGAAGAGCACATCAGCCAAGGTATTTGAGGAATCTGTCATAAGATGTAAGTGTGTTTAATGCTGTAGTATCATATTTTTAGCGCAAGAGTTTTGTGAAATATTTACCAGAAATATGAAAATATCTATTTTTTTTAAAAAAAAGGGAAGAGATCTGATGCCATTATATTTACTCACTTTAATAGATTTCATTCAATGTTTATTGTTTTCTTTATCAATAAACATTTGTATGAGCATAGCGCTGGGTAGATATCATTAATATTCCTTCCAAGAACTACATATGACTATGTGTCTGGCTGTTTTTAATTAAAAGACAGTTTCCTCGGTTACTTAATGTGGTTGAACAAAAGTTCTGTGTCAGTTAGAAGCATAGCCAATATGATTTTCCAATTGGATGGGATGTTAGTGTATTAAGTGAGTGTAAGGAATTTATGATTTAGATGCAATTACGAGGGTAAGTTAAAAAATAAGTTTCCCCTGTCGACTGCGTCAGAGTTGTGTATGAAAGTCAAAAAATAGAATGAGACATTAAAGATATGACATACCTTTATTTTTCCACATAGGTACCATGTACATTGAGACATTTGTCATATCACTTGATAAGCTTCAAAAAGCCCTCCAGGAAAAAATCAGGGCTTTGCATATGGAAGAAGCGTTGAACGGCTTGTTTCACTTCAGTATTGCTTCCAAAGCGCCTTCCCCCGAGATTTTTCTTCAAAGCCGGAAACAGATGGAAGTCGCTTGGTGCGAGATCAGGACTGTATGGCGGATGGTGTAGGCGCTTCCAACCAAGAGTTGCAATATGGTTTTTCGTTGCCTTCGCCGAATGTGGTCTGGCATTGTCATCCAACAGCAGAATGCCAGATGTGAGAAGACCAGGCCGCTTTTTCTGAATCGCCTCTTTCAATTTCGACAGGGTCTCACAGTAGCGCGTAGCATTGATGGTTCCAACCTCCAAAAAGTCCAGCAACAAAACTACTTGGGCATCCCAGAAAACTGTGAGGAGCACTTTACCTGCAGAGGGAATTGTCTTGAACTTCTTTCGGACAGGTGATGACGGATGTTTCCACTCCATAGATGCGGCCTTTGATTCTGGCGTGAAATGGTGGACCCACGTTTCATCCCCCTTCACAATCCGAAACAGAAAAGTCATTGCCATCTTCATGGGTAATGCACGAGATGTTCCAGGCTGACCCCCATGCGTTGTTCCTTGTGTGTCGAGGTCATTTGTCGGGGCACCCATTGTGCTGACACTTTTCTGTATCAAAGAATGTCATGGATTATGTTTTGAGCTCGCTCATGTGAGTTTCCAAGTTCTTCCGCTACTTCATCGATGGTGATACATGAGTTTGCTCTAATCATGTCATCCACCTTCCTGACATTTGCATCTGTAGTGGCCGTGCGCGTCCGTCCAACTCTCGGTATGTCCTGTATAGACTTCCACGAGGCGGTTATGAATTTTTGTTCCTGATACTCCACATGCCCATTCATAGCGGATAACCGCTCTCACTTCCTCCTTTGACCACGAATTCAAAACGCACCTTCTCTCCATACCTACCGGGGCTCAAATGAGAGGCTGGTCTCTGCTTTGCGCAGGCACTGCAACAGCACCATCTGCTTGATTTGCAGCGACCTCTACCCAATGGTGTATTGGTGACTTGCGCGTTTTCCTGCTGTGTCGCCTTTCGCCCATAGCCGTTCAACGCTTCTTCTATATGCCTATATGCAAAGCGTGAATTTTTCTTGGAGGACTTTTTGAAGCTTATCAAGTGATATGACAAATGTCTCAACGTACTCGTACGATAATAATAAAATAAAGGTATGTCATATCTTTAATGTCTCATTCTATTTTTTGACTTTCATACACAACTCTGACCACAGTCGACAGGGGAAACTTATTTTTTCAACTTACTCTCGTAGAATACAGGGTCGGTGACATGAAGTACATAACAATGATGTACATGAAGCTAAGTGTATTTAATATTGGAATAGATTACATGCGTTATCTCTAAAAAAATTTAATTTGGCTGCACCAACAGATTTTAAATTCAAATGAACTAGCTCAATTTTTAAATCTGTAAAGTCTACATTTATGAAATGTTAGAATGTAAAATAATGGATGATAATAAAAGTTTCTTTATTGCACTGTAATATTGCTTAGCATAGTTTTTTTACCTTTTGTTATACATAGACCACTTTAATTCATATATTATGTTCACTGATTATTTTAAAATGTATTTAAGGTATTATTATTTACTTTATTTTTCCTACAGTCTACTAGTTGTAGTTAAAGTCCAAGATAATATTTTATTAGGTATGATTGGGCATATGTAGAAACTGGCTTCCCTAAATTTATACCAGCATAATCAAACATTTGCCCCTTTATTTCTTTTTGTTAAAAATTGTATTTTATTGGGCTGTTGAGTAAGGTATAATTTAATAATTTTTAATAAAAAAAAATTAAATTATTATCATATATTTAAAATAAATACTTTGAAATGAATGCCACAATTTAGTTTTCTTTTATATTAGTTCTATAGTAACAACGAATCTGAATTCATTTTGATCTACACAAATATTGCTGCAATATTTGGACATCAGTAAACAATCTGCATTGGTTTTTGGCATTATAGTTGAATAGTTACTACCATGTGTTCTGGGATCAGTAAGAAGTAAAGCAATAGGTGTTTCCAAATTTTCTATTTGCTTTTGTGCCTCGTTATCATCAACAGTGCAAGATTTTTTTTTTTTTTTTTTTTTTTTTTTTTTTTTTTTTGTAACATGTCTGAATTACAAGGATTTTGAAGTTCTTCAAATGAAACACTTATAAAAATCATTTTTTCTGTGGCTTGATATAAATAAATATTATGTCTACATGTTGCATTATTTCAGATTAAACTCCTCTTATAGTGATTCCACATTTTTCCACAAATATCTGTTAAGGTTTTCAAATAAAGTACCACTTCTAGTTTACCACATAGAGTCAAAATCTGATCTGTCTGACATGATATAAATCATGATTGTATATTCATATATGAGTTTTAAATACTAAGCATAAGAAGTTTTGAATTATACCATAATATATTTTTAATGAAAGAGCTTCAAGCAAAGTACCACTTCCAGTTTATCAATATTAACCAAAATCTAATATGCTGTTAACCATTGGTATAAAACTCTTAAATACTAAAATTGAAAAATTTCAGGTTATATTTTAACATAGATTATCGTTAAAGACCAATATAGGCTTAAAGGAAGGTACTAGTTCTAGTTGTCCATCGGAAACTGTTATGGGTTTCAACTGACGTACAACTTCCAGGTGTGTACATTTTTACCCAAAATCTAATCAACTCTTTATATGAATACAGAAATCTTTAAAAAAAGGGGGGGAGGGGGAAGAAGAAGAAAAAGAAAAAAAGAAATTTGGAGGGAATTAAATATAAAAAAAATTGCCACATGAAAGCAGATGGGCATCATTGCAAATATAGTAAAAACATATAGTTGGAACTTAATCCCTGCTGATTATGTATGTATATTAATGTGAGATAAAAGATATTTAAATTAAATTTCTACCTTAAAAACTAAAATAATGCATATAGACATGTAATAATGTTTTATATCTATGTTTTAATTTGGTGTTTCCACTTTCTTTTCTAACAATAGTGATTACTTATAATAAACCTGAACTACATCATTTCAAAATTTATCATTGTCATGATTCTTAAATACTGGCAAGAGCAGACTTGCATCATATTTCAACTGATAATAATTTCAGACAGTTAATATTAACCAGTCATATTACAGCTAAGCCAAATCTAAATCATTTTGAACTGAAATTTAATCTTA